TGCCGTTATACAAAAAAACAAAAAAAACAACAAGCAAGCCAGCAAGCAAAACATATAAGTAACATCTTTTTTTCTAAATCCGAAATTGAATTGTAAGTCAAATGCGCAAACAAAAAACAAAAAAAAATTCATATGCTTATGCCAATAAACTTTGCTTGGTTATAAAAATATTGCGCATACGCAGTGTTGTTCATATGAGCAAACATGTTTTTCTTTTATAGATTTTAGATTTTCCACTTTTCTTCTAAAATTGACAAGCCTTGTCTGCCCTTGGAATGCAGCTTCGAACAAATTATTGCCTGATAAAAACAAAATAGAGTTTGTCTACAATATTTAAAGACTGTTGTTCTTTTAGTTACCAAGCTTTGGAAATAGAGCAGAGCTTTGTTCGTATCGACAGGATGCGACAGGATGCGACAGGATGCTTGAAGCCAAAAAATTATTTAACAAATAATCAATAAGTAGAACATATTAGATGCATTTATCAAAACGACGATCTAAAATTTGTGTTCTGATTTTTATTTTTATTGTAGGGTAAGTATGTGAAGGTAGTATTCAACATCCAATACCTTCTACTCCAGATAAATATATTAAAAATAAATAGCAAAAACCTTATGCTAAGTATTATGACAGTAAAATTAATAGTGCAATAGTGCTCTAAGTTCCTTTCGAATAAAAAATAGTTTTAAATAGATAAATAAGAACAAAGGACATATGATAATGTAAAGCAATTCAAATTAGTTGCATCAAGAAGTGTGTTTGAGAGTCAAGGCAAGGTATCACTCATAAGATTAAATGCGATGGCCAAAACGCATCTACGTAGAGTTTGAATGAATAAACTTACTGTAGATAGGTAAGAGCACAAAAGTAACCCAAATTCTAGCTTTAAAGAAATTGGACTCAATTGGAGTGTAGTAGTTACACTAAGCATTTCACAAGTACAAACAAAGAACAATACAATGAAAAAGAAAAGAAGAAAAAATCACACAGCTTATCAATAATTTACATAATGTTACAACAAAAAAATACGGTCTGATACTAAAACAACACCAATTTCTGCCAATGAGAGAAGCAAGCTGACTCCAACTTTGGGACTACAAAATGGGATGCATATTTTCTATGACAATCGATTCCAAAAATTTATAGATTGTCAGATATTTATCACACAAAACAGATATAGTCAACTGCCTTTTACTTTTTAAATTGACTGGAAAACAATACTTCTCTGTAGTTAATTGCAGGTATTTGAAGTCGAAGAATGCAAGCAACTAAATTTTGAATTATTATCTAAGAAGTTTAAAAAAATCAATTATGAATCTTAATTGCTAAAAGCTTAATATTTATTCTCGTAAGTATAAGCAAAGGGTACTGCAATTGCTTTAAGCCGGCACGACAACAGTCGAAAAATATGTTGATGTTGCCAACAATGGAGTGTAAACATTTATGGCAGCAGCAATCAAATGCATTCAAATGGCTTGTTTAAAGGTATAACTGCGCCAATCTGAGGCAGTGCCTACCACGCCAAGCGGTGTGGCAAGCGGCTTAATCAAGTGCACATAATAATTAACAGCAATTTCCAGCTGAGCAACTCTCAAACACGATCCATTCAAATGTGAACCCAAAAAGGCAACTGACGTTCCAAAGCGAAAGCAAACGCAAGCGCAGGAAAAACATATGCAACGTGCATGTGGCAGCGAGTGTGCATTTCCATTTCCTAATTGGTGCAATTTGCGTGTGCATATTGCAGCAACAACAACAACATATTGCCACAACAGCAGCAACGAGAGTGGGAGCGGCTGCAACACAAAGCCATGACACTAACAACAGCAACAACAACTTAATCGGCTGTAAGTGAAACAAATGCTGGCGCAGGTGCAGCTCATTGCTCTTTGGCATATGTGGCAAGGCGCGTGGCAGGCAATTTGCCACCGTGGCTGCATCTCTGCCGGTGCTGTTGATGTTGGTAATGACGCCGAATTGCAGCTTAATTAACGCAGCGGCTAAAGCGCTCTTTTGTGCGCAATTGTGCGGCTGTAAGCCTATATCAGTGTACTCGTACGTATGTACTTGTATGTGTGTGTGAACATGCTCATACATGCGAGTGAGCGGCTCTACCCGTTCAGGTGAACGGAAGTTGAAATTCCTGTTGAAAGGCCTTTGACTAGTCGATTGTAATGAAAATCGCTTTGCCAGTCAACATTTGTTCAATAGCTTCATGATTACTGTCAATATATCAATATTCTTAATGCTTAATTATATTTTCCAGATGAATAAATTCTACATGCTGTGAAAGAAATATCAAATTTAATATATGTTGAATAGTTTGGACCATCGGTGGTATATTTTGCCTGTTTTGAAAATAATTTAAATTAAATATTCATAATTAATTAATTTTCCCGCTTTTTAATTTTCAGAGTGGAGTTGCACGGAATAGTATTTCGTTTTTCCAATTCAAAAGCTTTTCAATAACTGTAAACCTAGTTGAAGGTATAGGAATGCTTAACATCGAAACTAATAGGAATGTATAATAACTACAATAAATTAAAACATACTAAAAGGGGCACCTATTTGATTTCCCTGTATATGATTTAGTAATTTGAAAATAATGATTGTAAAATGTATTTTTTATAGTTCTATGGACATCCATTGACATCATCGGTAACACCAAATAAAGTTTGACCATCAGTATAAGCATGATCATAGTTGGCAGTAAAATTTACTTCTAATGGTCAACTAACACTAACTCCCTTTCCAAATGCTGATGAAATATTACATTTTATTTCTATGGAGCATTCTAGCATTCCAGTAACATGCGCTATTTAAATAACTAACTCCGGTATGTGAAGGTTTCAACTGTGGTGTAGCTAATAAACCAACAAGTAATTGTGGTTGCTTGTCATATCCAAAACCTCCCCTCAAAGGTTTACAAAAAAAAAAAACATCACAAAAGTAACGCCAAAAGCACTTTCTCCAACATCTTAAATAATCACAACAATGTTTTTTTTTAATAAAAATTATTTACAATTTTTTAAACTAGTCCACTAACTAATCCATGTTTCTACAATACAAAGTTCAACTTTTGAATAACACACAAGCTAAAAAGAATATCCCGTTTTCCTTAGTAGTTCATTCCAAATGCGCAAAATGTAAACAGAATCTAGAGCAAGAACAATTTGAACTCGTTTTAATTAATGGCTCGTTCTACTAGAAAATAAATTCGGAATTGTGGAAAAGTTCGGAACCTATTTCGAAGGAATTATTTTCTAAAACAAATCATAGTGCAATGTAAAACAAGAAAATATGAAGTAAAAGTAAAGTCTATATTGTTGAACATGTTGGAGCAAAATACTATTTACAGTACTCTTTAAAATGGTATTGTTTTTTTCAACTTTTGGTTCCTGAAGTGGATATGTAATAATTGAATACACATTTTAGCGCCTCTAGGGCAGCAGTTAGCATAGCAGTATGGGGCTACGGCCTTGGCTTAATTTTGGTTTGTTTTACAAATTATGTTGCATGCTTCCAGGCGCAAATCAAAACAAATTAAAGTGTTACGAAAAGGCCAGCAACAGGAGAAATGAGGTAAAAGCAAACGAAAAAAGAGGGAACACACGGCACAATATCAAGCAGAATATAAAAAAAAAACAAGAGACCACAAAACTCATGTTGCACGTGTAGCAACTACAATTGCGAAAAGTTCCACACACACATACTCATACATACAGAGATATAGGAGGCGAATAAACAAACACTACATGCGCTCAGACACAGCTATACAAACAAGCGCGCACACACACACACACAGACACTAACAAACGCACAGGCCCACACACATATACACCTTCTTGTAGAAGCATTTGTTTGCAAGTTCAAAACCAGTTGCTTCGACAAACGCACGCCCCACAAATTTGGCGCGACAGGCAAAGCAGCAGGCGCTGGCGAAGGTCGGTCTCGGTTGTTCGGTGCTTGGTCGCATGGTTTTCTGGTCTCCTTGGTTGCTTGCTTGGCTGGTTGGCTGGTTGGGCGGTTTGGTTGGCGTTGGCGTTGGCTTGTTGGCCCCTTGTCCATTGAGTGGTCGTTGGTAGAACGCATTGTTGCCTGTTTGCTGCTGCTGCTGCTGCTTATTTGAATAGCTGCGCCTTGCACCAACTACTTTGAACTTTGCCTCCTGACTTGGCCGTCTCTGAGCTGTGTGTGTTGGTGTGGTGTATGTGTGTGTGTGTGTGTGTGTGGTGTGGTGTGCTAACAGGCAGATTCGTCGATTCGCCGAAAATTTGTTGTAGCTGCCTTGGGGCAGTTTTGGCCCCTTTTGTAACGTTTAGTTTGGCTAGCAAGGCTCTTGGCATGCACAACCAGTCACCGACAGTCTCACTCACTCTCTCAGGCACACACACACACACACACACACACACATACACCCATTCCCACGTATTGTATTTTATAGCCTTCAAGGTAGGAAAAAATAATGCGCCTCGTTCTCAACGTCTCTTCTTGTCCGTTCGTTGTCCACCATCCGCCGTCATCCGACCTGCCATTGCACACACATAACTCAGCCGGGGGCTAAGGTTGCCCAAAAATGCCCCGGGCCGCGTCCAATCTTTTTTTTCACTGTTTTCTGTTTTGGTCTTCGTACTTTTGTTTATTTCTCTTCACTTCGGCATAGCACTTGAGGCGCATAAAATTTTTAAACAGTCTGCGCTTTTTTTTTTTTTCTTTTTTTTGCTTTTTATGATGGCGCACAATTTCTGACTTGGCATGTGGGAGAGACGAAAATCAGCTGCCGCTGGCGCTTTCGACTACAACAATAATAGCAACAAAGAAAGAGGTTTATACCATGCAACTTGGCCTGCTGGTGTATTTGACTCAAAATTCGTTTATTACAGAATCTTGCAGACTAATTTATTGGCCAGTTTTGGTTTGAAAAATTGTGTGTGGTGGTTGCATAAAGGTTGTCCCTTTGTCTGTAGATCTATATGTTGTATATACGTGAGAACACTTACCGTTTGGGGCAGGAGGACTCCACCGTCAATGGTGATCGTTGATCCAATGCAACAAATGGAGTTCTGCGAATATTTGACAATAATTGTGACAGATGAATATTTGTTGGCATAGTGGTATAAATAATAATGCCTTTTGAGCTCTTTACAATTTAATTAACACAAAATAATGATCCGATCAAACGTAATTAAAGTTATGGATAATAAAAGGAAAATAGTTCTACACGTATTTACGCATTTGGGAAATAGCCGCAAATATAACAATCTATTTAAATTGAAAATGATTTGATATTCAAAATAAAACATCAAGCAAGCTGAAGACTTGAAGGCACCGTTCAAAGAACAAAGGAAGTTCCATTTAGATTTGTTGTATTCGATCAATCTGTTTTGATAATCTTGATACATGTTTGAATATTTATTTATGTTAATTTATTTCAAAATGAAACCTTTAATCAATACGATCTTTATAAAATATGGTTTTAGGCCATTTGAAAATAAAAACACTCTCTTGGTTAAGTAAGTCCCACCCAAATGTTGAATAAATTGCCAAACACACATATAAACAAATACATATTATACATAATAAACTCACAAAAAATGCGGAATATTTAGGAAATGCACTTTAACTTTTTATATTAGAGCGCGTTAGAACAATAAATTTCTGTAATTAGCTTTGAATATCCGTTTCCGTTTTGTTTTTGGCGCTGTGCCTTTTAACTTTGGCTGCTGTTTCTGGTTTGCTTTAACAGTTTAGCGTTAAACGATTTACGTTGATCAAATACCGCAAGACTCAAATAACAAACACTATCGTTCAAATGTTTACTTCCGTTTCCGGTTGTGTTGCTGTTGCTACTCGTGTTGCCGATGTATCTCTAACTAAACTATGCGCTGCCACTTTACCTTACTTGCATTCGCGTCGAGTGTTCACCGTGAACTGAATCGTTATCGTTGTGAGTAGCGGCCTCATGCTGCAAGTTCAGCTGTTCGTACAAGTTTGAGTTCGATGGCAACTTTAATTGTTCGCGTTCGCGTTCGTGTTCGCATTCGCGTTCGTGCTCGATGCGACTTGGCTTCGTGTACGATTTTGTTGTGTTGTTGGCAGTTCGCGACTGGCGTCTTTTGCAATGGTAGCGCCAACGCGCCGATGACGACGACCTTGAGAGAGAGCGACTGAGTCTTTGTTTGAGAGCAAGTGGTTGTGTCGCTATTTAGCTGCTTGACTTTCCCACCATGTGTTGTTGTTGTTGCTGCTGCTTCTGCTGCTGCTACTGCTGTTGCAATGTGTTTATTTGTCTGCTTCTATGTATGCGTAAGAATGTGTGCCTGCGTGCGTGCGTGTGAACGTTTAATAGTCTATTTCCGGTTTAAGTGCTGTTGCTTTTGTAGTTGTATGCACGTATGTATGTGCATGTGTAGGTATGAATGTGTGCTACTACAGTTGTTTGCAACTAAAATGGCGCAATTAACTTTGTACGTTGTTTGTGGCCGAGCGGGTCAATTAATGCGACTCACTTTGCACTTGTGTTGTGGCCAATTCTGCAAATAGAATGCATACTCGTATGTTTGTGTGTTTGTATGTGTGTGTGTTTCCTATGACATGCAATATAAATCTAAATATATTTGATATTTATTAAATAATACACGCACAGCACATACAACACATATGTATGTACATACACGTAGGCTGAATTGTGGTCTTTCTGCCACATTGTCTCATCCCTGAACATTTTGCCATTTCGTAAATGTCAAAGCCAATGTTGCCTACAGCTGTTTCTATGTACATACAAATACATACATACATATGTACCTATTGCTATGTATTTTTGCGCTACGCATACGAGTACGTTTATGTGTGAGTGTGAGTGTTTGTGTTAATGACAAAGCATAGAACGCTGCAGCCGGAGGCCAAACGAAATGAAACTTTGTGCGCATAGGCAACAACGGCGGCTATAGCTACAGCTACAGCAGCTACAACAACAACACCACCAACAACAACAGCAACGACAGTAGAAACAGCTAAGAGCAAAGACTTTGACGCTGGCAAAAGAAGCGACGGCGTTAGCAACGCACCCTTAGGCCGCTCAGTCGTTGCCGACGCTAACGCTGATGCTGGGGCAATGCAACGACGCCAGGGCGGCAGCTGAAATATTTTGTTAGCTTGCGGCAATGCAAAGAAAAACTTGTGATAAATATGCCCCGGGCTATGTTTCAAAACAGCAAGGCCTGCAGTTAGACAACTGTAATTAAAATGAGTGCGAACTTTTTTTGCAGTTAGTGCAGCGCTTCCCCTTCCCCCTTACAGTAGCCCTTATAGAAGTTGTAACAAGCTGAAGTGTCGTTTGGCATTCCTTATTAAAACAGCTAATTGCATAAAGAAATGCGTAAGCTTGATTGCTAGGCCAACCATTGAAATATATCCTTCAAAATATTTTCTATTTTAATTAATTATATAAAAATAGTTTAATTTATTATATTATGTTATCTCTTCTCAAGATCAGTGCACTCTTGCTCTTACTTTTATTCAGAACTTTGTTGTGCAGGCGAGCTTTTCTAATGCTGACATTTGCCTTCACTTTAATTGTAGACGCGCTACAATAAAATTATATTTAATTTAATTCGTCACGTTTTTTTTTAAATATACTAAGTCATGTGATATACCTATTAGTATCTCCTCTAATGAAGCGCAATAAAATAAGTAAACAACTTTCATCCGAAATTGAATGTCGCTTTTGCCCTAGTGGTAACTTTTGAGAAACTTAAGTCGACGTCTGTTGGAGCAAAGGGCTGCAGATTTATGCAGAAGATCTAAGACTCCCTAACTAGCATAAGTAGCAGGGTTGATTAATACCTGATGGTACAGAAAAGCTAAGATAACTGGCAGGAATCAATCACATTCTACGCAGCGGTACTAACAACGAGGGCGTTTTGCATCCTACCAGTTTATTTAAAAAAGATAATTGATATAACTAAAATTTTCGAACATAAGAAAAAAACATTAGAAAGTGCTAGCGAGCAGATGTAAAAAAGTCTCATTAACATACTGAAGTCAGAGCTGTTTAATTAAAAAAAAATCGGGGAATTTAGGGAAATCAGGGCAATCAAAATACATATGCCTGCTAGTGTGGCCGTCGACTGCAATGAGCTGACGACCGAGCGTTGTGACAAGCGACGCTTCAAGTGCTGCACGCATTTATGCCACATTTTTCATTGCATATCGCGGGGGGCGGCGGCGAAGGCGACGGCAATTGTTTGAGAATGCCACGGGCGATATTAATTTTGTACATGCTTCATATTATTTCACTATTTGCATACAAGTGGCTATTGTTGTTGCACAAGCAAACGAAACGGAACGAAACGCAATGGCAATAGCAATATCAATGGCACTGGCACTGGCCATAAGCTCCATAACCATACCACTCCATATAAACATGCATATGTATGTGTGCAAGTATGTGTGTGTATGTATGTATTTGGTGAGTGGGCAGTTGTGCGTTTTCCATTGACATTTCAATTTTTCATATTTTATCAACGCACGACTAACAACGGCGATCAAGCGACTATGGCCACGAAGACGACTGAATTGTTGCAATTTTATCGCTCATTTCACTCATTGGCCGACACACACACAGAAGCACACACACACAGACAAAATTTTGTATTTTATTGTTTCGGGCATGGCCAACACACACAGTCACAGTTGCTTTCCTTGTTTATTCCCTGCATTTTAACTAAAAGGTCATATTGCTTCAGGCATCAACATTCCTAAAAATAACACATAAAATTCTCAAAACTGATTTTTTCAGTGATAAGTTTCTGTGCACCCATGGCCTCTTATTTGTCTCCCTATCCGCCTGCCATTCTCTTTGGGAACAGGTTCTGAAATATTGAAAACACATTAAAACGCATCGTTATGATTAGTTATTTTAGTAATAGCAATCATGATAAAAGAGTAAACTGCAAACTGCATCTGGAAGTAAAATACTGTTCTCCGATCTGATTAATTTGAACAAACGATCTGCTTTCAGCGCGATATCTTAAAAATTGTAAGACCAGCTCGCATATAAATGGGCAGACAGATGGCTAACAGAAGGACAGATGGACACGACTTTATTAATTAAATCACTTCAGCCAGTATATTTAAATATTTACAATTAGTTTATTCGGGCATGTGGAGCATTTCGACCAGTTCAACCTGTTGCACGACACTATGAATTATAGTTAGTTTCAAACAACATTTCAACAAAATTTCATTGAAGCTCCAGCCAGGAAGATAGTGAACTGTTACGTCATCTGCCTAGTCTTCCAAATCCCGTTTGAAACTCAATTTGTGATACCTTCGGTCTATAATCCCTGTTCTTGCTAAGCCAGAGGCCTCAATTCATGGCAGAGCCAGACAGTCCTTACCAGCAAACCATTTCCTGGCCAGCTTTCCTGCTTTTCAAAGACTTTTCCTTGCGAACATTCAAACCAGCTTAGGAAGGGTATACAATATCAGTGCTGCGGAACACAAGTTTTTAGACTTTTTTTATTTGATGTTTCGCCGTTCTGTTGACGTCGCCGCTTTTTTGCTTTGCCATTTTAAATATATTTTTTAAGCATAAACTCACGCACCGCACACACGCACACATACATATGCACATGTTTATATGTATGTATGTACATATATGTGCACGCACTCATACATATAGGAATGCCAATATTTCAAGCCAATTTGCTGCAGTTAGCCGCCAGCGACTGGCAACAAAATAATTCGACAAAATGTGCGAGGCGCGCTTTATGGTTTATTGTTTGCAGCACGCTGGCTGCCTCCTGATTGGGGCATGAGCCAGAGGCGGAGGCAGGGGCTGGGCATCTGGTATGTGATATGTGGCAGTATATATGAATATATATGCTCGTGCATATATGCATATACATAAATGCTTGCTAGTGCAAAAATCAGCGTCGACAGCCATGCTTCTCATTGTAATAATTGTTGAGTAGCCGAGCCCTTTCCGCACTGCATGTTTGTTTATTTGTGTAGTTTTTCATGGTTTGTAAGTTTGTGCATTTGCATGTTAATCAATATGCTGCTTTATAAACTTACACACAAAGGTACATAAGTATGTATTTGTATGTGTGTGTTGTATAAACAAACATAAATGCCTTCGCTTGCATATGTTGCGGAAAATTTCCACACTTTTTTCCACCATCATCATTATTATTATTATTTGTATATATACATATTTATATACATACATATATGTTGTATATTTACACATACGCTTGCATGTGTGCGTGCGTTTTTTTTTTTTTTTGAAATATTTTTTAATATTAACGACACAAAAAGGCTCATAAAACTCACAATGCCTACCCTGAGGCATTTTACTTAATGATGCCATTTTTGCGTTGCCATCGCGTTCTGAATTTCGCGTTAAATTTTTAACGCACGACTGACTGCAGCAACAAACATCGTATTTTACAACATATCAGCATTTCAACATTTAAACAAACTACAACATTTGAATGGCTAAATGATAGAAGTCATATATATACAATACTATATATTCGAATATAAACATTGTGCGGTGGCAACAATTTAGTTTTTGACCAAATTTGGCAACAAATTTTGCGAAATTAAACATTTAGTGTCCTACTTTAAAAGAATTTTAAATTAACTACACTTTAATAAAACACACAGAAAATATAGGGATTTTTAAGTATTTAGAATTCATTTAAAATTAATTGAGAGTAGAAAATATTAGATTTGTTTAAAGTCGACGAAACACGTCGACATCGGATTGAACGAGCACAAACAAATTATACCAAATATCGTATTAATTGTCAAAAAAAAAAAACAATTGTCTGATTGTCCTTTAACAACTATAAGATATCGGGCACCGATTTTGATTAAACTAGAGAATATCAAAAAATACAAT